GACCCTGCTCCTGCCCACAGCGCAGGATTCCCCACCGGAGACCCTCTCCCCGATTTCCCTACCTGGTGTTCTTGTCCTCGCTCTTCTTTTCCAGGCCAAGGTGGTTACCCGGTTGCAGTGGGGATTCACTGAGCATTCCTTACCTGCCAGGTCCCAAAACCAGGGGCAGGAACAGTTTCCAGAACAACTCAACTGCCGGATGCTGAGCTACCTCCCTCAGGTGAGCAGTGCCTGGGGTCATAGGTACTAACCCAGGTTTTGTGCCTAGAGATCATTAAGGATCAAAAACAGGCATCTCCCAGCAACTTTGGAAGCTTGTCAGTGGTTAGACTATTTAATCCTATTAACCAAGAACTTATTTATTTATTTATTTATTTGCCCTTTAACCACTTTTAATTCTTTTAATCATGAATTTTTACTGAATGAAAACTTGCGATGGCTCCCTGTTTCTTCACAACAGGTTCTCAAACCTAGGTGCAGAGAATCACCAGGAGGGACTATAAAAGCACTGATTGCTGACCCCACCTCCTGAGCAGGTCTGGGACAGGCCTAGAACTTGCATTGCTAGGAGGTCCTTGGAGGATGCCAGCATTGCTGTTACAGGATCGCACTTTGAGACCCCGAGCCTCACAGGCCTTCATAATAAGGCTTCACAGACATCGCCTACGGATTCTTGCTTTGCGCACACTACCCAGTTTAATCCCTCCTGCAGCCCAGGAGAGATGTTGTCCTCATTTTAGAGATGAGGAGACCAAAGTACTGAGCAATAAGGGCTGTCTCTAAGTTCCTAAAAGAGGAACTGGGAGTGGAGCAGGTCAGCCTATTCCCGAAAATCAAAGTCTGTGATTCAGCCAAGCAGGTATTCTACCCAGAATGCGTTTAGCACTCTCCTGCCTCCCAACAGATTGGTTTCCAGGATTTTCTACTATGACCATCCCCTGTAAGGCTAAAATACATGCAGGGATGCCTGGGATCCGTTGATTAGGAAATCACAGCAGCCAGAGTGTTCCTGTGAATTCAGTGGTGCTTTTAAATGTTGTGTTTCTTAACCTGTCGACAGCAATGGCATTATCTATGAGTGTAAATTAAATAACTTACCTAGAGAGGAGCCTGGTGCACAGTGAACTTTCAGACCAGGTTTCTAGTAATAGTATTTCCTAGTGTTTATTCCTCATGATTGACAACATGCATTGGGTCCAGACAGCGTGCCAGGTCCTTTACATGCATTATTTTATAATTCACATTAACCCCAAATAGTAGGTACCCTGATTTTCCCCACTTCCCACAGTAGGAAACCAATGTGTAAGGAAGTTAGGCAGCTTGGTGTGCACAGCTGAAGCTGAGGCATAGACGCCTGGCCCCACACACCACAGCCTCAGCTCTAACCCGTGACCTGAGGGCCTCCTCAGACCACTCCCTTCTCCGTCTAGCCAAATCCTCGCCAGTACCTCAAGCTCAGCCCAGAAAGCAGCTCTTCCTCCTCCAGCGCTCACTCTAAGCCTCGCTCCTGTGCTGCCGATCCCCCATCTCACCTCGGCGAAGGTACTTCCCACTTGGTACCTGCCCCTGAAGAGCCCACCCCTGGAGGCACGGACTCAGCCGTTTTCTAGGCTACAAGGAAGATGACGACCCTCAGAGTTCACAGTCTGATAGTGGGTGTAAGAAAGTTGCATAAATAGCTACAGCTAATAGCAGAACATCATAAATTCTGGCTAAATGAAAAGTAGTCCAGTGGAAAGTGTGCTGGCTGTAGAGCAAAAGTGAACTGGATTTCAGCCAGTTCTGCTGCCAGTGGTGCAGCCTTGCACAGGTTGCTTAGCTTCTGAGCCTCCGTTTCCTCTTCTTGTGCTAGATGAAGACGAGGTGAGAAGGACAGTTAGTGGGCAACCTCAAGAGCACAGGCAGAATAAGCAGGCCTGGAGACAGGAGCTATAAGAATGCTGTGCCAGAGGACCCTCTTAGGACCTGGCTTCTGGTGGGATGCCAGAGGCAGTGCAGATGCTGTGGGAGGAGCCTTGTGCACATTCGGGAGGGTGCTGTCGCTAGCAGAGGAAAGGATGCCAGTTGCTGAGTGGTGGTAACAAAGGAAGGTTTGGTTCTAGACTCAGTGCAAAGTCACTAACTTTTCACATAGAAGCAGCGTGCCCCTGCCCAGCATGCACCTGTGCTGGAGCTCCAGAGACGGGCCAAGTTCCCAGTCAACAGGCATGTTAGCTCAGGCTGCCATATAAACACCACGGGCTGTGGGACTTAAGTAGCAGAAATTTATTTTCTCACAGTTCTGGAGGCTGGAAGTCCCAGGTCAAGGTTCCACATGATTTGGTTTCTGGTAAGAGTTCCCTTCGTGGCTTGCAGATGGCCACCTTCTCATTGTGGCCTCATGTGGGCTTTCCTGAGTGCTAGTACACAGAGAGAGAAAATTGTCTGGTGTCTTATAAGGACACCTATCAGACCAGGGCCCCAACCTTATGACCTTATGGATATTTCCTTACAGGCCCCACCTCCCAACACAGCCACACTGGGGCTTGGGGTTTTACCAGTGGGGGGACACAGACGTGAGCCCATCACCAGCCATGTGTAACCAGTGACGCCTGGACACAGACTTCAGTCCTGGCCCTTGTCCTCAAGAATCTATTCAAGAACAGAAAATAAACCCACCCAAAAAAATAAGATAATAATTTGAAAAAATAAATACTAATTTGGCATTTTAGGCTGGAGGGAAAAAAAACAGGTTACTTGGCCAGAGAATGAGGAGCTTGAAAGATGAGGAAGCTGGCCTCCCGGGACCAGAGGACTCGGATCAGAGAGCCCCGAGGCAAAGCTGAATGGTTAAGGAAAGACCAGAAGACAAAACTGAGGCCCGGGCAATGTGGGGGTTAAAACCCGAACCCAGGTGATCAGTCCAGTCAAGTGAGAAACCGCCTAGCCTTGGCCTTCAAAAGCTCCGGTGGCAGGGGAGAGCTCAGCCGCCAAGGGATTTAAATGTGCCTCCCCCAAGAGACATCAGCTCACACCCAGTCCCAGAAACTCCAAGGAGCTGAGCTATGCAAGAGGTCAAAGTTGACAACCCCCGTGCATCATTTTACTTATTTACTAGTTTTTTCTTTATTGTTAAAATATTAATGGAAGTTGATTTTCAGCCTTAGAATGGAGCAGCAGAGCTGTGGAACTGAGCCTGCATGTAACAAGTGCTGAGGGTCACAGAAGACTTGTGTCAACTGGAAATAAATGATGGAAATGGTGGTGAGCAAGAGGAATTGTGTCAAACCAAGGAAACAATTGTGAGATGGGCGGGAAAAGCTCAGAGAGGGAAAAGCATAGGGTCAGAGCTGAGTCTTAATCTCTGTTGCACAAGGTGTTGAGCAGATGCTCCTCTCTGCCCCTCAGTTTCCTAATGCGTGATATTAGGGGACTGGATGGAAATGATGGAAGGCCCCTTGGGGCCTTAGAGACTGATTTATGTAACCCTGGCCTCCGCCCTGTGACTGCTCATACCTCTTAGCCGCAGTGAAAACGGGTGGCCACGAGCAGCGGGAGCTGGTGGAACAGGTAGAGTGCTGTAGATTCAGCAGTAGGCCCAGCCCTTTAAAGGCCACCTTTGAGCCTGCGCAGAGGCTCGGAATCCTTTTAACTGGTGAATCGGTTGAATTAAAAGGAAGCAGTTACTCTAGTGCAGAACAGGGTGGTGGGTGCGGGGTGCAGAAGTAGATCAAAGGGCGGCAAAAGAAGTGGGCCAGAGGCAAGACAGACGTCCAGCCCGCCACCGGCTGTAGATGCTGTCGCTTCTGGGATGAAGAGTCTTAGCTCAGGTCTTCCACAGGGAGATCCTGAGGCAAGGATTTGGTTCAGGGAGTTGATTTGAAAGATGATCCCAGGGAGCAAGTGAGGGACAGGAAAGTGAAGCGGGATGGAGAGGAGTCAGTGAGTGGGCTGATGCCCGGGTTCCCGCTGTGGGCAGCGGGGCCGGACCCAGCTGGCGAGACGAGCGAATGTAGGTTTGCCTTCTCGTGTACCCGTGTTCATGGGGGAGGTTTCTGTAAACACTTTTAAAATAAACAATAGTTTTTAAATGCAGAGGAACTTGCCATTTATAGAAGGCCTGTTGAAATCCTTTATAAAAGAGAATTACTGTCCCTTAACTTTTATAAATTTATATTTTATATATCAGAATTGCTTAAATCAAGCTGAGCTGTGAAAAGCTCTTTACCTGAAAAATCCTCAAGGGTCCTCAAAAGTGAGGTCAGAGGTAGCCCTCGCCTCAGAAAGCAAGACAGTCGCCACAGGAAGTGGCTGGGAGGAGCACAGGGATGTTGAATAGTTGTTAGGTGTGTCTCGTTCTGATTGGTGGCTGGGCGACCGGAATCAGAGGCCCTGCCAAGGAGAGGCCAGGGAAGGCCTCGTAGCTGAAGAGAGAACAGATTTTATTTATACCTGATCACATCTTTGTGTCCTAGCCTGAGCAGGAAGTGACCTCAGAAGAGACCCGACTGTAGGCCTCCCTTACGTGCAGCCCTTTAACACGTCACAGCTGGAATAAAGTCATGACTTTGCATTGATGAGTCAGATCCCAGCCGGGGTGCGTTGGAGCCCCACTGAAGAGTGCAGTCACAACCAAGTTTATCATTTTAAAAATGATCGAGGCGCAGTGCTCCGTCAGTGATCCTGCAAGCCAGCCAGTCCTATTGATTTGTAGTGCTATTGACTATATTGATTCCAGCCTCAGAATCTTCTCAAATATGCTCGCTAACAAAAGAATAAGTGGTGACGTACCAACAATAAACTATGAACTGTAAATGCCGTACTTATGAATTGCAAAGTTCGAGGCCTTTCTGTTCTTTTGAATAGTTCTCACCACCCTGTTGTCCATGTCTATATTCTGCACTCGGTGGCCAACTAATTTAGAAAATACAGTCAGGACCAGGTCAAGAGTCCAGCCATGACACATAGGTCCTGGGTTTGTCCTAACTGTTGGCTACAGACAGCTCCTTGAGATTGGTGGGTAGCTGAGGCCGAGGGAGGTGCTGGGGGAGGGGAAGAGTTGGACAAGCAAGTATGTCTGGAAACCCCACTCCTGGGAATGCAGCTCAGTCACAGAAAGGCAGGACCACTCACTGCTGCTTTTATTGCATTAGGACTTACCACTACTAGCTGCCTTGCTTCTAAAAATGTGTTCATATTAAAATAGTTCTTGTGGAGAAGTGCTACACAAAAATAGATGACCTTTGGGACCCCAGCTTAGCTCTTCAGCAATGGAGAGGAGAAGATGCAGAGGAAGTGGGGTGCCAGTTGACGGCAACAGGACTGAAGAGCGAATGACCCAAATTTGGACTCAGTGTAAGCCCAACTTATAAATGTCACCACCCATTTTGAATTTTCCAGCAACTGGAAACAAGGCAGTCACTCAGAAAAGAGAACCAGTGGTCTAGGAAAAATTGAAAAGGTATTTTCCATAACTTAATTCTTTATCCACAGCTGCATAGAGTGGATGAAGAACTAGAGTATGTGTTGTGTTTCAGAAATGTAGGGCTCCCTGGAGACGGTTCTGGGGCTTCCTGGACTTCCCAGGGAGGTCTAGGGAATTAGTGTTAGGACTCCTGAGCTCATGCCTAGCCCTCCCTACCTCCATCACATACGTTCAGCTCCTATATGTTTTATAAATTGGGGATATGAGTAATAGTTTATTAAAACAAGATTACCACTGTTAAGAAAAGTTTGCAAACTACAAACTAACGTATACTTAGAACCAAGATTTCTATGATCACGTGACAGAGATATCTAATAGATATATTTGTGCTGCATTCAAAAGTAAGTAGCACTTTAGGCATTTTTTTAATCTTTGCTATGATCTGAGTAGAAAAGTAGTAGTGATGAGGGAGTGGGAACTAGGACACCTGGGCTCTGGATTCAGTTCTCCCAGAATCAGCACTGGCTCAATGGTTAGATCACCCAGCCTGGTGTCTTACGAATTAGAAAGTATTCACTAACTGCTGGTTCATTAATTACCAACTGTTCTTCCTTCTCACTTAGGCCTGAGGATGAGCTGTGTCCTCGCTCCTGTCCATTTAACTATGACCGTGGTCTATTAGGGTCTACTTGATGGCCTGTTTTGGACTAAATAACCTACCTCTTATTTCTCACACAGCACATTTGGGAGAGAATTGATGAGAAAATAAAAAACATTTTTTTAATTCCTCAGAGTTAGATACAAAAGACTGACCAAAATAATGAAAAGTATAATTATAAAATAGAGTTGGCCAACAGTAATCTGGGCAACATTGCTTATTTTGAAAATTCAAAGGATGTTTATAAAAAGTTTGTAATAATATAGAAATGTATGTTGCAATGTTAATTGAAAATACCACTATACAAAACTGGCACGAGATTATAGTTGTGGCTACATAAATATAAAAAGTACTCATAGGAAATTAGGGAAGAAATACATCAAATTTTAGTAGCTTTTGGCTGACAAAACTGTGAGTTCTTTATTTTTTCCCTTCAAGACAGGTGGTTCTACAAATAATCCGAAATTTATATGGAACCACGAAAGACCCCAAATAGCCACAGCAGTCTTGAGAAAGAACAAAGTTGGAGGCATCACACTACCTGATACCAGACTATACTACAAGGCCGTAGTAATCAAAACAGCCTGGCACTGCCCCGGCCAGGTGGCTTAGTTGGTTGCAGGAGCATCCCCTATACCACCCCCCAAAAAAGGCCAGTTATGGGTTTCATCTCCAGTCAGAGCATATATGAGAGGCAACCGATCAATGTTTCTCTCACATCCATCTATCTCTCCCTCTCTCTCCCCCTCCCTCCTTCCCTTCCCCCCTCTCTCTCTCAAACCAACAAACATATCCTCAGTGAGGATTACAAACAAAAAACAAAAAACAGCATGGTACTGGCATAAAAACAGAAATATAGATCAATGGAACAGAATAGAGAGACCAGAAATAAACCCACACCTAGATGGTTAATGAATATTTGACAAAGGGGGCAGGAGCATACAATGGGGTAAAGACAATCTACTCAATAAATAGTGTTGGGAAAATTGAACAGAAACATGCAAAAAAAAAGAAAACCAATGAAATTAAATCTTCTTAACCATACATAAGAATAAACTCAAAGTGAATTAAAGACTTAAATGTAAGAGTCAAAACCATAAAACTCTTAGAAGGAAACATAGGCAGTAAAATCTTTGACATTTCTCTTAGCAATATTTGTTTTAAAATTTTTTAAATTGATTTTTAGAGGGAGAGGAAGGGAGAGGGAGAGAGAGAGAAACATCGATGTGAAAGCAAAACATCCACCAGCTGCCTCCTACACACCACTGCAAAGATCAAGCCCGAAACCAGGCGTGTGCCCTGACCAGGACCTGAACTAGCTGCCTGTGGAGCCTAACCACCGAACCACACCAGCCAGGGCCGCAGTACTTTTTCTGCTACATCTCCTCGGGCAAAGGAAACAAAAGGAAGATAAACAAATGGGACTACATCAAACTAACAGGTTTTTGCACAGCACAGGAAACAACAAAATAAAAAGTGAACCCACCAAGTGGGAGAACATTTGGTGGGTGATACATCTGATATGGGGTTAATATCCAAAATTTATAAAGAAATTATACAACACCACCAAAAAAAACCCAAGACCCAAATAATCCGATTAAAAATGGGCAGAGGACCTGAATAGACACTTCTCCAAGGAGGACACACAGATGATCAATAGACACATGAGAAGATGCTCAACATCACTAATCCTCAGAGATGCAAATTAAACCCACAATGAGGTGTCACCTCACACCTGTCAGAATGGCTCCACCAACAAATCAACAAATGACTTGTGCTGGCGAGGGTGTGGGGAAGGGGAGCCTGGTGCACTGCTGGTGGGAATGCAGACTGGGGCGGCCACTGTGGAAAACGGTGTGGAGGGTCCTCAAAGAATTAAAAACGGAGCTGCCATTTGACCCAACAATTCCACTTCTGGGTATATATCTGAAGAAACACTAATTCAGAAGAATATATGCACCCCTATGTTCATTGCAGCACTATTTGCAGTAGTCAGGGTTGCAAACCAAGTACCCATCAGTAGATGAGTTGCTTAAAAAAAAAAAAAAAGCTGTGGTGCATTTACACAGTGGAATACTACTTGGCCATTAAAAAAATGAAATCTTACCATGTGTGACAGCATGGCAGGACCTAAAGGATATTCTGCTAAGTGAAATAAATCAGTCCGAGAAAGACAAATACCATATGATTTATATGTGGAATCTAAAGAGCAATATAAGCAAACAAAATAGAAACAGACACACAGATACGGAGATCAGACAAGTGGTTGCCAGAGGGGAGGGGCGTTAGGGGGCTGGGTGAAACGGGAAGGGACTGAGAAGTACAGATTGGTGGTTACAAGATAACCCCGGGGACGAGAAGTACAGCACAGGGGACGTAGTCAGTAATGTTCTAATGACTATTATGGTGCCAGGCGGGTGCTGGAAATATCCAGGGGATCACTTTGTAAAGTGTATGACTGTCTACCCACTGTGCTGTACACCTGGAACTAGTACAAAATAATATTGAATGTAAGGTGTAATTGAAATTTTTTTTAAATATATAATAATAAAGACATGTAGTTCTATAAATTTCTTCTATGAGCATCTTATGATATAAAAATATGAACTTAAATTTTAAAATAAAATTAAATACAGTAATTGTATGGTCCTCCTAGCACTGCCCTAACAAAGTAGCACAAACTGGGTGGCTTAAAACAACCGAAATGTCTTGTTCTGGGAAGCCTGAGGTCAAGGTGTTGGAGGCCTGCCCCTCTGAAACCCGGAGGGCTGTCAGCCCCTCCTCGCCTCTTCCTGGCTTCTGTGGTCACTGCCGTCTGTGGTGGTGCCCCGTCCCCAGCCGCACAGCTCGGGTCCCATGCATTCTCTTTGCGTCTAGGTCTCCACGCGACCATCTTCTCATAAGGACTCCGGTCATACTGAATTAAGGGCTCATCCTGCTCCAGTGCCACAATTTCTTTTTTTTAAAAGGATAGTTTCCTCTTTTTTTTTATTTTTTATTTTTTATTGATTTCAGAGTGAGGAAGGGAGAAGGAGAGAGAAACACCAACGATGAGAGAGGCTCTGCTCGGCTGCCTCCGGGGTCCTGCCGTCAGGAACTCCAGGCTGGGAGGGAAGTTTCTGAATTGGCTAAATGTTTCATTGTCTCCCCAATTTTAAACAACTCTTTGTGACTTTCTCCTACTGAATTTCTGGGAATCGTTTCTTTTTTTAAATGGAAATTGAAGCATGTTTATTTAATTTTTCAAAAGAGCTGTCTTGGGCCAAGTTTGACAGAATTGCTTGACATAAAAACACAAATCAGGACTGTAGTGTCGCGCGGGCGAGCGAGCATGGCTATCTTGCAGGCGCCAGCTGCAGTTCTGTCGCCGCCTTTGGAAGCAGAACCGTGCATCTCGCTTGCCACACACACACACACACACACACACGCACGCATTTATTTCCCCGGGAATTAGTGACTCGGCGTCATCTGCGAACCAGCACGCGTGTGCTTCGCGCGGGTCTCCCCTGCGCCCGTCTTCCTGTCGGGAATGCTTGTGTCTGAAAAGCTAAGAAAATTAAGTGCACGNACACACACGCATTTATTTCCCCGGGAATTAGTGACTCGGCGTCATCTGCGAACCAGCACGCGTGTGCTTCGCGCGGGTCTCCCCTGCGCCCGTCTTCCTGTCGGGAATGCTTGTGTCTGAAAAGCTAAGAAAATTAAGTGCACGGCTGTGTCGGTGCGATGACCCTTCGGCACGCAGTCAGGAAGTTAGACGTGCTCTCCCAGCTGGCAGGCCCTCTGAGCGGGGGGTCGGGACAGTCAGGGTGGGCACTTCTCACGGGCATGTGGGTGCAGGAGACTGCTCCTCTCCCTCTGCACACAGGACTGTGCACAGGGCTGACCCGCCCCTGGGGGGAGAAGCTCCCCCAGCCCTGGGTCTCCGGGCCCTCTACCTCTTCCAGTCCCAGCTCATCTCCACGGGGCGGCGGCCACTCGTGGCCCTGACACGCCTGCGCTGCTGTGTCCCACGGGGCTGGCTGGGGGCAGACGGACGGAGCTCTCCTGGCTCTTTGGCTCCTACCAGGAACTCCCACCTACCCAGCGTTGACCGTGTGCCAGGCACCCCACCCCCGAGGGAAGGCAGGACCGGAGGACATGGCCAGAGCCCTGGCCGGCACAGGGCCGTGGCTGCAGGGTCACTGGGAAGCAGTGGACGGCTGCTTCTAAGTAAGTACAGGACTGAACGATGGCGGGGCATTTACCGGTTCACAAAGGGTTTTCCGGCCGTTCCCTCTGACCGTCATCACAGCCCTGGCATGGCACGGCCGGCAGGGACGTCAGGTTGAGGCGAGGTGAGTGATGCACACAGTCCCAGCAGCCGCGCCGAGGAGCCCAGGCCGCCTCCGCTTGCCTGCGGGCGCCAGGCTGCCGCTCCGCAGGGAGTCAGCCGCTGTGCCAGAGGTGGCCGCTGGACCAGTGAAAATACTGGGCATTGGAGTAAGGAGCCCTTGAACCTGCTCCACAAGGCATCGTCATCTTTTCCAGCATTACTGAGTTCCAGCAGCATGATAGGTACTGTCCTACACACAGATGGTCCTGAGCCTTTGGGCTTGTGATCTGGAGGTGCCAACAAGCCTGGCTAATGGGAGAAATGAGGGGAATGTACGCAGTTAAAAAGGGGTCTGAAAAGGGGCACTTTGCATAATTACGTGTCTGGTTATATACCTTCGGGACAACTGCCTGGAGCTCTGACAACAGGGCAAAGTCAATTGCCCAGTTTGTTGGTCTGAACAAAGGTAAACAGGCTTAGCCCCAAGCATGCGTCTTTCTACCATTTTAAAATGTTGAAACAAGAAAGCCAAGGGCCACTGAGTGTGTGATGTGCCTTAAACGCTCTAAAGATGAAGAAGCATAGAGCCTTAGAGGGTCAGCCCAGCTGTGCCTATTCATTTCATATGTGTTTAATGCATTACACACACATGCACACACACACACAACTTGCACCCTACCAAATACCTCCTTCTCTTAAACAGTATGAAAGTGGGCGGGAGCAGGAAGCATGAGACAGTGTTTAGTGAACTGTGGTTTTAGCTCTGCAGGGACTTGGCTGGTGTTTGGGTTTCGGTTCCTCTGCGCATCTGAAGTAGCCGTGATTGGCACCCAGGAGAGCAGACTGGTACATTGAACCCTGAAACTGACTCTGACTGGGGGAAGGAATAAAGTGTGGCTAACACAGAGATTTTAATAGTTTATGTTTTAATTTGCATATAATAAAACATTTAATTAACATTAAAAATATTTTTGTCATGGAGTTCCTATGTAAATGGCGCCAGAGAGAGCATGCAAAGGTGGTAATATTGTAGGACCTCTGTTATCCTGACTTTCCTAGTTCTAAACTGTGCTGGGACTCTGCAACTTTCTTTCATATTATCATATCATGTGACACTACTGTGCTATGTTTACTCATAATAACAGTAAACTTAGTAATAGTAAAACCATTAGGTTAGTCATTCACAGCTTCACTTGATCTGGCTGGTGGG